TGCTCCGTGGATGTCTAAAATTCCCCTGAAAACCTCAGTTTTTTATTAGGCTCTTTCCATAGGGGAGGGTGAGTGAGGTTACACAACATTGTAGTGACGATCATACTGGTGCACAAAAATCACAATGTGGTATTGTAAAAGCAGAACAATGTAAAGGTTACTTTCTGTGTGTCAGCATAGAAATCATATACCTTAGCAAGAATAGAGGTTAAACATAAACTTATGATTATCAGCAAGAAAAGCATTGGGCTCACAGCTGCAGGGGGAACAGGATCTGACATAGGACAACCAGCCTGACCACAAAGCTCCAAGAGGAGGGGCCTCCATGCAGGCGTGGAGGAGCAGTGGGAGAAGAAGGACTTTTACATCCTTATCTCCAGCACAGAGGTTTTTCCTCACAGCAGACGGCCGTCATGCGTCATTTATCGGCTCACCATAGGGTCGCATTCCCTTTCCAGGGCCATAATCAATATGCCTTTCCTGGGAAAGGAATCTGGGTAATAAGCCTCTCCATTACACGTCCGTTTATAGGCTCTCTGCAACGAGAAGCTTATTACGTGCTATTATCTTTCTCCAGCACTCAGGCTATGTGGCTTGTTTTTTACACAGAGTTCCTGTTTTTACAAGAACAGCTCAGCAGGGCCACAGTTACAAGCTACATTTTAATTTTTTACACTATTCTTTGTGTCCCCAAGTATGATCTGTATAGAGAATAAGAACAGCAAAGCAAATAACTCACCTCAGGCAAACTGAGTTTAAGACAGCACAATAAATGAGATGTCAGCCATGGTTTCTTCTTGCAATCTCAAATGTCTCGGATTTTGCCAATCTCTCCAGAGGCCTGGGGCTGCTCGGCTACCATCGAGGGGTCTGGCACGTTCCCAGCAGTTGCTATTAATATTATCATTATTATTTTAATTATGAGCTCAGATGACTCAACTGGAATTAAAGATTCCTAACAGCTCAGGAGCTCTGCTATGAGGTGAATGTCCATGAAACGCTCGGGCCGACAGTTCACATCTTCTCCTTCTGCTCTTCCTCCCCCTGCCCCAGTGTGCAAGTTGCTCAGAACACTCAGCTGTAAGCATCTCTCAGCTGTGAGCTGACTCTTCCTAAAACAACTGGAACAGACCCCTATGCTTCCCACATGGGATGTCAATGCTCCTCTCACATTTTTTTAAAGCCTCAATCTTGATATTTTAATTCATTTTCCATTTCATTTCTGTAAGACTTCCCTGGTTGTGAAATGTTAGAGTGGTCTGTTCATGTTTCATTAGCTTCCCCTCAAGCCTATGGAGATTTCTAGTTTGCTCAGGCCCACAAATGTTGGCTGTGCACTGACTCTTTCTAGCAGAAGTCAAGGGGAATTCTCAGTGTGCTGAGAAAGGCGTGTCTGACTGAAAGGAATAGGGAGGGAAAGGGTGAAGCTGAAGCATAAGCAACAACAGATCTTCCCAGGAGCGGCAGTATCAGCTAAGGGATGCATTAGGAAACAGGCACTGCCAAGAACATGGTGCACTTATTAGTCTCATAGGAGCAGAGCACAGCCTCAGCATTGTTACCTCTGGATAAGAACATCCATGAATTGAGAGGCCAGGAAGTTCTGATCTCTTCAAGGATTAACTTAGACAATCATAAGGGATAAGAGTCTGGCCATACAATTCTAGGAAGAAGCTCCAACATTTGTTCCATCTGTGTCTGAGCTCAGAGTGGGGCACCATGAAGCCAATTGGCAAAATGTATTATTTCCCCTGGCCAGAAGCATAGCATCTTCAGAAATGTAAATTCTACTTGACTTTTCTTACTATTCATACATTGTTTTCATTATTGGGTTTTGTTTTTCTTCTTGTCAGATTTTCTAACTACTTCAAACCTTGACCTTGGATACACCTCAAAAAGCAAAATGCTGCCACCATAGATTCTGTGAGCCTGGAAGACAGTAGCTTCGGGAGGCAAGGAAGAGAATCAAGAACAATCAGATAAATTCTGATCAATCTACTATTATTTAGTACACTTGAATTTCATCTCATGAAACTCCTATAGGATCTGCCTGGATCCTTCCACTACCGTTAACAGTGCCTTAGTGGTAACAACGGTGTAATGAGTAACATTTTATCATTTCTACCCCAATTATTGATCCTTTACAAATAATCACACCTTGACTTGCACACAGCTGCTTTGCTTCTGTAAATTAAGAATTAAATTGTGTTTCCTTTTGATTTTTATCCCTAGTCCTGGAGTTGATCTATTAGTTTTATAAAGTCCCCAAGAACTTTCACACTCTATGATTGTCTATAGGTAAATAACTTCTAGTAAGGTGAAACCTTCAAAAGACTGTCCTGATACTTACATTGGCTTTCACATTCCCCTGCAAGTAAAATCTTAAAACATTTCTTTCAAGAAGATAAACAGCAGAATCACACTGAATCCCAGGATGTATTGTTTTCTGAAAAATTACAAGCCAGTCATCTGGGTTAATGAAAACATTAAGATACATGCCCACCATACAATAGAAATCCAAAATGAAGTCCAGTTGAAGAGTAAAGGAGTTCGAAGAATTTTAGTATTTGTCTCTTTTCTAGTTCATTTCTATTTGGGTTAGTTTTTTTTTTTTCTTGGAAATTTGCATATGTGACCTCTTACTCAGATGTTTGCAGGCTTTTGGCCTGCTGCACAAGGAAAGCCTGGAAGGGGAGGAAAATGTGGAGGAGGACGGAGGCGTTAGGAAATGCAGTGAGACTCAGACAATGGTTTTGTTGCTTGTCCCTGGACTCTGGTGATTTCTGAAAACCATCACACCTTGTTTTGAGAGCGCTGTCAGTTTTTAGGACAAATAAAGTTTTCTTCAAAGTCATATATTACTTCCCAGTGGAGCTGGAGTCCTGCAATCCCTGTGGTGCCTAACACAGAGCTTTGTACACAGGAAACATTACAGAAATGTGTATTTGCTAAATGTAGGTAAATTCCTGAAAGTCGTGTGTGAATTCCGTTTTATAAATTGAATAATACTTTTAAAACATATGGGGGGCATATTTAAAGAAATATTGCATTAAATCATTTTGTAAAATGAATATCTACCTCAATTTATCTATTTTGCCAGGAGAATTGGGTCTATCAGGTTTCCTTAAAACTGAGCATGAAGAATGGGTGCAGTGGCTCATACCTGTAATCCCAGCACTTTGGGAGGCTGAGGCGGGAGGATCCCTTGAGGCCAGGAGTTCGAAATCAGCCTGGCCAACGTGGTGAAACCACATCTCTACTAAAAATACAAAGATTAGCCAGGTATGGTGGTGCATGACTGTAATCCCAGGTCTTGGGGTGGCTGAGGCAAAAGAATTCCATGAGTCCAGGGGGCGGAGGTTGGAGTGAGCCAAGATTGCTCCACTGCGCTCCAGCCTGGGTGACAGAGGGAGACTGTCTCAAAAAATAAAAACCAAAGCAAAAGTAAGCATGAAAATCCTTTGTTCCTCATCTGCAACATGAAGGACTTAGAGACTCTTGTATTGATCTTGGTTATTTCTACCAGTACCAAAATTCCTCAGTTTAAAAATCTGCCTCCAATTAACATAAAAATTTAAAAGTTGAGAGATCTGGCCACCTTTGCTGTTTTGAGATGTAGGAGAAGAAAAATAAATTTTTCTTCAACCCTCATAGGTTCATAGTTGGAACAGCTCCCTGTAACAAAAGGTAGATTGAAAAGAGAAAAAAAAACAGAAATTTATTTGTATATATATTTCATATATACATGGGAGACACCCAGGGAACAAGTAGTTTTCAAAAAGGTGGCTTTGAATTCCAGCAAAATAGCATCGTCAACAAAGAATAGTCCATTTTTAAATAATAACAGGACAAAGTGAAAGGGTTTTGAGTCTCTAGGGATGGCAAGTGTGGAAGGCAAATATATGGCAGATAAAGGCCAGTTAGTAATGCTTGTCCATGCTCAGGTTCATAAGGGTCTAAAGCTGTCTTCAGTGGTTAACCTTTATTCTCCCTGGTAGAGAAGCAGGCAGGATTCCTTTTGTCTTTGTGAGTCTGTGTCCTGGTTTTAGGCAAATAGAGGAGGGCAAAGAGCTTTCCTGATTCTTATTCTTCATTGCCTTCAGTTCAATCCTTCATATTTTAGGGTGACACTTTCTGGTTTTCCACAGAGGGATAGGGAGAAAAGACAGTGACTCTTCTCAAGATTTGCCTTCTTTCCATTTAATCATAACAAACTCCTTATTGCAATTATATTATCCTGAAACAACTATTTGTATCAAGTCAGAACCACCTCTGACATTAGGCAGAGCTCATTGTGAAGTCAGTAGTGTATTGTTTGCTTTTAGATATATTTAATTCTTAACTAGAAACTGAGGTCTCCTGTATAGAAATACGATTAATTGAGCATTTATTTTTCCTGTGGGGGCTGACTATAAAATATGTGATGTACCTTAATAGCAAAATCACACAATTAAGACACTGTGTGTATATGTGTTCCCACGGGAAAAAAAATTTAAACACATGGTTTCTTGTTTTCATTTTTTTCTTTTTTAAAATCAGCCCTCTCAGGTTGAATGTTTTTGGGTTTTGATTATGTAATTAACGGCAATCAAATGTACTGATGAATTATGATCATTCAGCTAACCTTGTCTTAGACCAAATATCCTGCCTATCTTTTTAAAATGAAATAGTGTTGATTTCTGTTACAACTAGCATATTATTAGGAAAAATAAATTCTTAATGATTAACATCTCTCGCTCCAGCTTCTTCATTTAAAAAGTATAGTGACATTAATACTTTAATAGAAGTAGCATGATCTTAAAAAATAAATCAAACAGTTCAGAAAACCACTACAAAATCCGCCATTTAGGTGCAGCGGTCCTTAAATGTGGTGGATGCTGTTACAGACATTTCTCCATGTATACAGAGAGAAGAATGGATGGAAGAAGAGGTAGATGGAAGTATGAATGGATAGAAAAAAAAGAAAAGAAGGAAGGAAAGAAACTCATGCCATCTATGTGTTCTGGGTTGAAAAAATTTTGTTTTAAAATATTTTCTAATTTTTAAATAGTTTTACATTTACAGAAAATTTACAGAGATAGTACCAAGGGCATAAGGGAACCTCACAGTTTCTCCTGTTGTTAATGTGTCACATTCGTGTATCTGTCAGTTAAAACTAATGAATAAATATTGATATACTGTAATTAACTAAAGTCCACACTTTATTTGAATTTCTTTTCACCTGCCCTTCTTTTTCTGATCCAGGATTCTGTCCAGGATACCACAGCATATGAAGCATCGTGCCTCCTTGGACTTCTCTGGGCTGTGGTTTCTCAGACTTTCCCTGTGTTTGATGACCTTGACAGTTTTGAGGAGTACAAGTCAGAGTACTTTGTAGGCTGGCCCTCAATTTGTCTGATGTTATTCTTATAATTACATTGAGGTTATGGGTTCATGCGAGGAAGAGAACAGAAGTAAAGCGTCATTCTCATCACATTATATCAAGGGTACATGACATGAACACAACTTACCACCAATGCTGGGCTTGATCACAGAGCCGAGGCAGTGTTTGTCAGGTTTCTCCATTCTTTGTCCCCCCATTCTATGTTGTACTCGTTGGATGGAAGTCACTGTGTGCAGCCTGTACATAATGGGCAGGATGTTATTATGCTTTACCTACGTGAGGGGGACAGTGCATACATTACTCGAAATTCTTTTGTTCAGATTTGCCTATTCTTATTTATGTATTTATTTATTCACTCAATATATTTATTTTTGCCACTATGGACTCAAGGATGTATTTTATTCTTGCGGTTATAATCCAATAATGTTATTTATTTTGTTGCTGAAATTGTTTCAGCTTTGGCCATGGGGAGCTCCTTTTGTTGGCTTCTGAGTTCAGGTGACATATATCCATTGTTTTGTTCTTTGACCATCTCCTTACTTTCCTTACTTTCTGGCACCACAGGATGCTGCAGACTCAGCCCTGCCTCATTCTAGTATCAGCCATTTCTCCAGGGAGCCCTGTTTCCCTTTACTGTTGAATGGTATTTAAATATAAGATCTGTGTGGTGGGTGTCTTCACTGCCCTATGGGTTAGCACTTTTTTTTGTTTTGGCTCTTCTAGACTCACTCAGTGGCAAAGCAAAGAAACGAGTGTATACTAAACAGTGTATATACATGTATAGGGAAAATTCTCAAACCATCTTCTTCCTCTGTTCTCACATTACCACAACAATCATCAATAGAGAAGACAATGTCTGTGAACAAATGTGTGGGGGTTTCCCTCACACACCAAGCAGTGGACACCAGCTGAGTATCCTGCAATTCAGTTCTGACACCATCTACACAGAGATAACATCAGATTCCACAGGTTGAGGGCTCAGTCCCAATACCACCCTGTCCTTCCCTTTGAGGTGCAAGTCTGAGGCCCCTAGAACATCCGACCAACTGGATTCAAGTTAGGGTTCCCATGACCCCTTCTAGGTTTGACTAATTTGCTAGGCTGGCTCACAGAACTCAGGGAAACATGTAGGTTTACTGGTTTATTACAAAGGATATTATAAGGATACAAATAAACAGCTAGAGGAAGAGATACATAGAGCGAGGTCTGGAAGGGCCCTGAATGCAGGAGGTTTTGTACCTGTGGAGTTGGGGTGCACCACCCTCCCACCATGTGGATGAGTTCTTCACTTTTCTATTGGCCTCCAAGGGTTCAGATTCTCTGGAAGCTCCCCAAACCCTATCCTTTAGGGTTTCTATGGAGCCTTCATTATAGGCAAGATTAACAACCATGTAGAAAGTTGATTCAACAAAAAGGATATGATCTCATATGTGAGCTCATACCTGGACGGGAAAAGCCAGGGAGGCCTGACCTTGTACAGATTCTTCCTAGCCTCTCTGTGCAGCATTCCTTCCTCCAGAGTATAGGGCAGGCGCCTCTCTGGAACGAGGATCTCTTGATCCACAATCAGAGTAGGGTCCCGCCTTGTGCAGGCAAGAGGAGGACAGGAGGTCAGAGAGAGAGAGATTCTGTTTCCTGAGGCTTGCTCCTGAGGCCTGAAGTGCCCCAAGATTATAACAAGTGACTATAACAAGTGTAACAAAGGCTATAGGAGTTATAAGCCAGGAACTGTGGACAAAAGACTATTTCATATATGTATGATGATTATATATATATGCACACATAATATATGATATATATTATAAAGTATCACAATAAGCATATGTATAAGGGTTTTTATATGTATCTAGCTGCATCTAAATTCAGCTAAACATGAGTTCACACAGATGTCTCCAATCCTAATCCATTACCACATATTTTGTAGATGCAACTATGGAGAAGTATAAAGAAAACCTGATTTTCCCCTTTTCTACATAACTGACTTTTCCTATCAATTTTCCTATCTTTGAAATTTAGCAACTCCACCAGCCATATATTGGAGTGAATTTGCGTAAATATGGAAATATATATTTTTTTCAAGCATCTCATGTGCCCTTTCAGCCTGCAGATTCAAGACTTTGTTTACATCTCCAAAGTTTATTTTAAAAATCATATTCTTGGGACGCTGGCAAGATGGCCAAATAGGAACAGCTCTGGTACGCAGCTCCCAGCAAGATCAATGCAGAAGGTGGGTGATTTCCACATTTCCAACTGAGGTACATGGTTCATCTCATTGGGACTGGTTGGACAGTGGGAGCAGCTCAAGGAGGGTGAGCCAAAGCAGGTGGTATGTCGCCTCACCCAGTAAGCACAAGGGGCTGGGGAACTCCCTCTTCTAGCCAAGGGAAGCCATTAGGAACGGTTCTCTGCACTCCAGCCCAGATACTGCATTTTCCCCACAGTCTTCACAACCCACAAACCAGGAGATGTCCTCCAGTACCTATTCAACCACCAGGGCCCTGGGTTTCTAACAGAAAACTGGGCAGCTGTTTGAGCAGATACCAAGCTAGCTGCAGGAGTTTTTTTTCTTCATATACCCTAATGGTACCTGGGATGCCAGCAAGACAGAAATGTTCACTCCCCTGGAAAGGGGGCTAAAGCCAGGGAGCCAAATGATCTGGCTTGGTGCATCCCACCCCCATGACAGCAAGCTAAGATCCACCAGCTTGAAACTCTTGCAGCCAGCACAGCAGTCTGAGCTTGACCTGGGACTTTGAGCTTGGTGGGGGGAGGGGCATCCACCATTGCCGAGGCTCCAATAGGTAGTTTCAACCTCACAGTGTAAGCAAAGCTGCCAGGAAGTTTGAACTGGGTGGAGCCCACCACAGCTTAGCATCTGCAGGCAGAATGTCTCACTAGATGCCCTCCTTGCTGGGCAGGGCATCTCTGAAAAAAGGCAGCAGCCCATCAGGTCATAAATAAAGGTCCCACCGTCCTGGGACAAAGCGCCTGGGAAAAGGGGTGGTTGTGGGTATAGCTTCAGCAGACCTAAACGTCCCTGCTTGGCATCTCTGAAGAGAGCAGTGGATCTCCCAGCACAGTGTTTGAGCTCTGATAAGGGACAGACTGCCTCCTCAAGTGGCTTCCTAACCCGTGTGTATCCTGACTGGGAGACACCTCTCAGTAGGGGCAGACAGACACTTTCTTATACAGGAGAGCTCTGGCTGGCATCTGTGGGTACCCCTCTGGGACGAAGCTACCAGAGGAAGGAACAGGCAGCAATCTTTGCTGCTCTGAAGCCTCCACTGGTGATTCTCTAGAAAGCAGTGTCTGGAGTGGACCTCCAGCAAACTCCAGCAAATCTGCAGCAGAGGGGCCTGTTAGAAGGAAAACTAACAAACAGAAAGAAATAGTTACAACATCAACAAAAAGGACATCCACTCAGAGACTCCATCCAAATGTCACCAATTTCAAAGACCAAAGGTAGATAAATCCATGAAGAAGGGAAGAAACCAGTGCAAAAAGGCTGAAAATTACAAAAACCAGAATGCCTCTTCTCCTCAACACAACTCCTCACTAGCAAGGGAACAAAACTGGATGGAGAATGAGTTTGACGAATTGACAGAAGTAGGCTTCAGGAATTGGGTAATAACAAACTTATCCAAGCTAAAGGAGCATGTTCTAACCCAATGCAAGGAAGCTATGAACCTTGGAAAAATGAAAGGCTAACTAGAGTAACCAGTTTAGAGAAAAACATAAATGACCTGATGGAGCTGAAAAACATGGCACAAGAACTTCATAAAGCATACATGAGTTTCAATAGCTGAATCGATCAAGTGGAAGAAAAGATATAAGATATTGAAGATCAACTCAATGAAATAAAGTGGGAAGACAATATTAGAGAAAAAAGAGTGAAAAGAAATGAACAAAGCCCTCAAGAAATATAGGATTATGGGAAAAGACCCAATCTATGTTTGATTGGTGTACCTGAAAGTGATGAGGAGAATAAAACCAAGTTGGAAAACACTCTTCAAGATATTATCCAGGAGAACTTCCCTAACCTAGCAAGGCAGGCCAACATTCAAATTCAGGAAATAGAGAGAACACCACAAAGATATTCCTTGAGAAGAGAAACCCTAAGATAAATAATTGTCAGATTCACCAAGGTTGAAAGGAAAGAAAAAATGCTAAGGGTAGCCAGAGAAAAAGGTCAGGTTACTCACAAAGATCCTAGTAGACTAACAGTGGATCTTCTGGCAGAAACCCTACAAGCCAGAAGAGAGTGGGGCCAATATTCAACATTCTTAAAGAAAAGAATTTTCAATCCAGAATTTCATCCAGCCAAACTAAGCTTCATAAGCAAAGGAGAGATAAAATCTTTTATGGACAAGCAAATGCTGAGAGATGTTGTCACCATGATGCCTGCCTTACAAGAGCTCCTAAAGGAAGTACTAAACATGGAAAGGAAAAACTGGTACCAGCCACTGCAGAAACATACCAAATTGTAAAGACCATCAACACTATGAAGAAACTACATCAACTAACGGGCAAAACAGCAGCTAGCATCATAAGGGCAGGATCAAATTCACATATAACAATGTCAACCTTAAATGTAAATGGGCTAAATACCCCAATTAAAAGACACAGACTGGCAAACTGGATAGAGTCAAGTCCCATTGGTGTGCTGTATTCAGGAGACTCATCTCACGTGCAAAGACACACATCGGCTCAAAATAAAGGAATGGAGGAAGATTTACCAAGAAAAAAAAAAAAAGAAATAGGGTTTGCAATCTGCAATCCTAGTCTCTTATAAAACAGACTTTAAACCAACAAAGATCAAAAAAGACAAAGAAGGACTGTACATAATGGTAAACAGATCAATGGAACAAGAAGAGCTAACTATCCTAAATATATATGCACCCAACACAGGAGCACCCAAATACATAAAGCAAGTTCTTAGAGACCTACAAAGAGACTTAGACTCCCACACATAATAGTGGGAAACTATAACACTCCACTGTCAATATTAGACAGATCAATGGAGCAGAAAATTAACAAGGATATCCAGGACTTGAACTCAGCTCTGGACCAAGCAGACCTAGGAGACATCTACAGAACTTTCCACCCCAAATCCACAGAATATACATTCTTAGCACCACATAGCACTTATTCTAAAATTGACCACATAATTTGAAGTAAAACACTCCTCAGCAAATGTAAAAGAACAGAAATCATAACAAACAGTTTCTCAGACCACAGTGCCATCAAATTAGAACTTAGAATTAAGAAATTTACTCAAAACCACACAACTTAATGGAAACTGAACAACTTGCTCCTGAATGACTACTAGATAAATAACAAAATGAAGGCAGAAATAAAGATGATCTTTGAAACCAATGAGAATGAAGACACAACATACCAGAATCTCTGGGACACATTTAAAGCAGTGTGTACAGGGAAATTTATAGCACTCAATGATCACAAGAGAAAGCAGGAAAGATCTAAAATTGACACCCTAAAATCACAATTAAAAAAAATAGAGAAGCAAGAACAAATTCAAAAGTCAGCAGAAGACAAGAAATGACAAAATTAGAGCAGAGCTGAAGGAGATAGAAACATGAAAAACCCTTTAAAAAAATCAATGAATTCAGGAGCTGGTTTTTTGAAAAGATCAACAAAATAGATAAATCACTTGTTAGACTAATAAGGAAAGAGAGGAGAAGAATCAAATAGATGCAATAAAAAATGATAAAGGTGTTATCACCACCAACCCCACAGAAATACAAACTACCATCAGAGAATATTATAATCACCTCTATGAAAATAAACCAGAAAATCTAGAAGAAATGGATAAATTCCTGGACATTTACACCCTCCCAAGACTAAACATGAAGAAGTCAAATTCCTGAATAGACCAATAATAAGTTCTGAAATTGAGGCAGTAATTAATAGGCTACCCATCAAAAAAAAAAAAAAAAAGCCAGGACCAGGTGGTTTCACAACCAAATTCTACCAGAGGTACAGGAGGAGCTGGTACCATTCCTTCTGAAACTATTCCAAACAATACAAGAAAAGGGAATCGTTCCTAACTCATTTTATGAGGCCAACATCATCATGATACCAAAACCTGGCAGAGACACAACCAAAAGAGAAAATTTCAGGCCAATATCCCTGATAAACACTGATGTGAAAATCCTCAGAAAATACTGGCAAACCGAATACAACAGCATATCAAAAAGCATACCCATCACAATCAAGTCAGCTTCATCCTTGGGTTGCAAGACTGGTTCAACATATGCAAATCAATAAACATACTCCATCATATAAACAGAACCAATGACAAAAATCACATCATCATCTCAACAGATGCAGAGAAAGCCTTCGACTAAAAGCCCTTTATGCTAAAACTCTCAATAAACTAGGTATTGATGAAATGTATATCAAAATAATAAGAGCTATTTATGACAAACCCACAGCCAACTTAATACTGAATGGGCAAAAACTGGAAGCATTCCCTTTGAAAACTGGCACAAGACAAGGATGCCCTCTCTCATCACTTCTATTCAACACAGTATTGAAAGTTCTGGCCAGGGGAATCAGGCAAAATAAAGAAATAAAGGGTATTCAAATAGGAAAAGAGGAAGTCAAATTGTCTGTATTTTCAGATGACATGATTGTGTATTTAGAAGACCCCGTTATCTCAGCCCAAAATCTCTGTAAGCTGATAAGCAGCTTCAGCAAAGTCTCAGGCTACAAAATAATGTGCAAAACCTGCAAACATTCCTATACACCAATAACAGACAAACAGAGTCAAATCATGAGCAAACTCCCATTCACAATTGCTACAAAGAGAATTAAATACCTCTGAATTCAACTTACAAGGGATGTGATGGACCTCTTCAAGAAGAACTACAAACTACTGCTCAAGGAAATAAGGGAGGACACAAACAAATGGAAAAACATTCTATGTTCACGATTAGGAAGAATCAATATCATGGAAATGGCCATATTGCCCAAAGTAATCTACAGATTCAATGCTATCCCCATCAAGCTACCACTGACTTTCTTCACAGAATTGGAAAAAAACCACTTTAAATTTCATATGAAATCAAAAAGGAGCTGCATAGCCAAGACAATTTTAAGAAAAAAACAAACAAAAAAAACCCCCAAAAAACCAAGCTGGAGGCATCACACTACCTGACTTCAAACTATACTACAAGGCTACAGTAATCCAAACAGCATGGTACTGGTACCAAAACAGATATATACACCAATGGGACAGAACAAAGGCCTCAGAAATAACACCATACACCTACAACCATCTGACCTTTGACAAACCTGACAACAACAAGCAATGGGGAAGAGATTCCCTATTTAATGAATGGTGTTGGGAAAACTGGCTAGCCATATGCAGAAAGCTGAAACTGAAGCCCTTCCTTACACCTTAAACAAAAATTAACTCAAGGTAGATTAAAGATTTAAATGTAAGATCATAAAATCCCTAGAAGAAAACCTAGGCAATGCCATTCAGGAGATAGAAATGGTCACTTCATGACTAAAACACAAAAGTAATGGCAACAAAAGCCAAAA